TTATTATTTTTAATAAAATGCTGAAGTGGTAGGTAGATGCAAGATAAAGGTAGAAAACATAGTTTAGTGTTGTAAGAGAGCAAATGTAGATGATCAGGTGTGTGCCTGTAGACTATGTGTTAATCCAAGCTAGACAAGGGCAATAAAACATCCACGGATGCAGCAGATTTCTCTCAGAACAGCAGGGGAGAGGTTCTAAGCCTCATCTCTGTTGATCTGATGGGGAGATTTTTAATCCATTGAATCAGTTGAAAAGCTGTAGATCTAGTCTGGTTTTTAATTTCTTCTTGAGGGTGTTTTACTCAATTATATATGTATGTATGTATATATATATGTATATATATATGTATGTATATATACACTCTCCTCTTCCCTCTTGAGGCCTAGATGTAAAGACTTCTCACTCTTGCTAGCCCCAGGGCACTTCCCTATCCCTTATTAATTTCCCTTAAGTCTGCTCACACCTGGGGAAATGTGCCCTTCACAAAACTCTCCTCACTTACTCTGCTTGCATGTGTGATTTGTTTCCTTTTGGGACCCTGACGCCATCTCCATCCCTGGCCTGCTGACACATTCTCTTCTTTGTACTTGCTCAGCTGCTTCTCCCAGCCCTGAAAGATCAGCAATCGTAAAACATAACCATTGTCCTCAGTCTGCTACACAGCTCCAATCTCTGTGTTCTCAGAGTCATCCTCCCCTCTTAATGTGGTTGAGAAGATAAGAGGCCATTTGGGCTGATCTATGTATATTTATACTTTTGCGCAGGCACAGGTCTCCTCACCTCATTCGTCTGGGTGAGGGGTGCCTCTTTTCTTCTAAGTCCAGCTTCTCTTCCTGGATCCCATGCCCTCCGGTCACTTCATTTATGCTTCTCCCCTCTGTGTCTTCAGCCTCTCTATTTTTCCTTCTTCTTCTTACAGCATTGCATAGAAATAGCATTCTTAGAAACCAAATCCCAGTTTTGTTTCTGAAACAAACCAAACATCCACTCCTTAGCTCATGCTGTACCTTCAGCCACTGCTTTCTGGCTTTTGACTCCATCATAAAGGAAGCATGAGGGCACAGATGGATATAGTCCTAGAAGCCTCTCAACCCTTTCTATCAACAATTGACAACTTTCCAACTGTACATTAGTACTCTGCAAACATTCCTTAAGACAAGTCCCCTACCCTCACTTCTACTCAGATGCCACCCCTGAACACTTCTTGGATTAAAAAAAAAATTCAGGAACTACCATTATCCATCACTCCTCAAAAACTATTCACAATTACCAGTGATTTCTTAACTGTAAGTGCAACAGACATGTCATAGTCCTTATCTTAGTTGAACTCTCTACAGCATTTTACACTGTTGATTATGCCCTCCTTATATATCTCTTCCCCACAGCTTCCTAACAATTCTCCTCATCCCTCTTGTACATCTTGGGTCTATTTTTGGCCCCTTTCCTGCTCTCCTCTTCCTCTCCCCATCCTTCAAATATCCTCTTCTTCCTGCCTCATCTCTTCCCCTCTACATCAAGTATTCTTTCTTAATCTGAGGTCCCCTGAAATTGTGTATATGTCTTTGTGATTTTTACCATGTGCATTTTTCTGTAGAGACAGTCCAGAGCTTTAATCACATGATAGAAGGCTGGGGGGCAGTGAGGGTGGTCTCTGGGGTTTCTTTGATAGGGGCACTAATCCTATCAGAGGGGCTCCACCTTCATGACCTAATCACCTATCAAAGGCCCCTCCTCCTAACAGCATCACCTTGAAGGATAGGATCTCAACATGAATTTGGAGCTGGTGGGGTGGTTGCACAAATATTCAGTCTAGAGCTGTGACCTTTGGGGAATACAGACTAAGTATATAAAAGAACTGTTTTTTAAATTGATGTTTATATTGAAATATACTTGGTTATAAAAATCTCAAAAAAATGTATTGTTTCTCAAAACTGTGCTTCTATTTATGTTATAGGTAAGGTGCATATGTAGATAGAGAAAAGTTGAGGCTTTGTCTTCCATAGCTATAATCAATCCACAGGTAATTCAAATTTCTGTGATTAATCTGTAATTGCCACACTTACAAAGAAACTCCTGGTTAAGAGAAACTTTTTTAAACAAATTGTTTGGTGTTACATGTAGGCTCAGTATACATTTATTTAAATCACCTATGACATTGGGAAAATTTTTTCAAACTTAGGAAAATGCAATTTTTAATAGGGCTTCATTGAATTATAACAAAACTCTGCAAAATATTGCCATTACACACTTAAGCATAATTGAATAAATGATATTACTTAGACAAAAGTAAGACTTTCCTTTCACATTTAAATTATATTTGTTTTACAGTTGGAAGAGACTATTAATGATCTTAACTATGACAATTTGTTGCATTTTCCAGCCTCTTTTTTTTAATGTTAAAAAGTTTGGAGTTTTAAGTTCTCTTTTTCTCCTTATCTTCAAATAGATGGTTTAGCATAAAACTTGAATAGCTGACACCACCACCATGACCACTAAATTGTTTGTCGGCCAGAAATCAACTCTATCAAAGTTGCTTCCTTACATATTTTGATCATGAGCTTCAAATGATCTAAGCAGAGTTACACATATCCAACACATCTGCGCCTGTAATTTATTCCCTCTTATTCTTGCTCCCATTCCTCCATATTACCCAGGATTAATTCAAAGACAGTCACCTTTCAGAAATGGTGCAGAATATACAGTCACCAACTTCAGTTTCCACCATGTGTACTACAGCAGATTCTCTTTGTTTCAAAACTGGGGTTTTACTTCCTGGAGAGGCAAGATGAAAATCAATATCCTATCCTGCATTATCTGAAACTTGGTAGTCCATGTCCAGAGAGGCCATCAGGGATATGGCCTGGTGGAAGTCATTGTGCAGGAGACCTGAGAATGGCCCAGGAGCTGGATGGCTTTTGTCACCCAACCTAACTTGTCAAGCTGGAAAAGGTGGACTCACCCAAGTTGGCTGAGAATCTCCAGGTGGCAGCAGCAATTGTCTTGAGTTGGAAGCATAGTCCGAGAAAGAAACGCATCTAGGATGGGCTGCAGTCAACTGTCTGAATCCTCTTTGGCCTCTGCCCCTTTAGGACACTCTTCCTCTGAATACTTTCTTTTGAAAAGTTTCAATCCTACAAAAAAAAAGTTGAATGATAAAATTAACCTTTGTGTATCTTTCACCTAGCAATTGGTAACGTTTTGCCTTACAAATATTCTTTAAATAAACTCTGCTACATCAGGTAGTGTCTGTTTCCAGTGACTAAGGACTTGAGCTAACAAGACCATGAATAGGAAACTCATAGAACAAGAAACGCAAATGACAAGTAACTATGTGAAAAACTGTTCAGTCGAGTGTATACTCATGCAATCTCTGGAGGAAAATTTCACAATGGGTAGGATGGATTATAATAGGGAAAACCTGGAAATGTCCCCAATACAAGATTGAGTAAAAAGAGTATGGCATATTCATATAATAAAATACAGTGAAAGCATGAAAAACTACATAGAAATTGATATATTGTCCATGATATGTAGTTAAATAAAAGAGCTATTTTCAAAGAAATATATATGTATAACAGTTACATCTTTGTAAATATACATATCCTTATTTATATCAGTATATGAATAGACAAAGTCTGGGGACAAACATCAGTTTATTAGCAGTGGTTATAACTGAATAGTAGGATTACAGGTGACTTAAATTTTTATCTTTATTCTTAGCTGAATTGTCTGAACTTTTCATAATGGATATGAATTTTATCATTAAAAAAATAAAGCTATGTAGAAAATCATTTTAATATATCAAACAAAAAATTCCCAAAAGACAAACAGCAAAGAAAAAACCTTCAGCTCTGTTGGCCCCTGCATCATGGTCCAAAGGACAAAGTCCGTGTTCTTTTCCCTGGTACCAACATCCTCCTCTGCAGTCAATTAACTTCTCTAGGTGGAGTTAGTTGCTCTCCTGGTATCATAATCTATTCAGAGGCCTAAAAACCAGAGTCTGTGAGCTTGAGGAAAGAATTTTCCCCAGTGCCAGCCTAGTGCCCAGTACCTAGCAAGGTGTTTGGTAGAGGTTTGCTGAACTGTGATGAGCACTGAGACCTGATGGATATGCTGGAGCCAGGCTGAGAAGAAAGAAGCCAAAGCTTTGGGGTACCTTTGTCTTAGGGACCAGAAGGCCCCTCTTGTTACTCTCATTCCATTTAACACTAGCTAGAGCAGGTACAGCAGGAGTGGTTGGCACATTTGGTGAGTAGTATCTGTGAAATAGTCCAGAAATAGCGATGCCAGGGGAGCTGACCCAGCTCAGTGGGGACAGTGATAGAAGGAGGGGGACCAAAGCCCCTGACCAAGCCAGGTTTCAGCAAAACTACCTGCTAAGCTGATAAACTGATGATAGCCCACCCTCAAACATGAGTGTACTCAAAATGCTCTGTGTCCAGAATCTGGTTAATTAACAGGTGAACTTGACTTTGAAAAGGCAAATATTTTGAAAAACTAGGCAACCAAGGCCCAAATGTGCATGATTCTGGAAAAGGAGCATGAATTGTTTTTTTTCTTGCTGTTGTAATAAATTACCACAAACTTGGTGGATTAAAACAACACAATTTATCATCTTACAGTTCTGTTGGTCAGAAGTCCAACACAAGCCTCATGGGGTTAAAATTAAGGCAGGGCTGCTTTCCTTTCTGGAGGCTCTATCAGAGAATCTGTGTCCTTCCTTTTCCAGCTTTAAGAGGTCACGCATATTCCTTGGCTTACAGCCCCTTCTTCCATCTTCAAAGCCAGCATGTTGCATCTCTGATCATTCTTCTGTAGGCACATCTCCCTCCTGCCACATTCAGTGGAAGGACTCTGCTTTTAAGGATCCATGTGATTACATTGGGCTAACCCAAATAATCCCTGATAATTTCCCCATCTCAAGGTCCTTAATCTTAATGACACCTGCAAGGTCCCTTGTGCCATGTAAGGTAACCTATTCACAGGTTTCAGGGATTCGGATGTGAACATCTTTAGGGACTTGAGGCATTATTCTGCATACCACAGGTATGATATGGAGGAAAGTCTGAAATTGTTAATAAGAAGCCAGTCTGTATATAAGGGCATGGAAAATATCTATGTTAGTAAATGAAAATAAGCAAAAATATCTACACAATCACTCATCTGGTGAAACCTCCCTTCCCCTCACTACACTCTGAGTATGCTCACTAAGCCATCTCCCACCTGTCACAGCCACCTCACCCACTCACACCCTCAGGGCATTGGGCAGGCATGGGGGTGGGCATCAGATTTTGCTGTAGTCAGTCAATAGATCAATAGATTTTTGGCTAATTTGACAAATGATAAATTGTCCTTTAGCAAACTCATTTTAGGCAAGTTGATCTACAGTTAAAACAACAATAGAGACAACAGTGATAATAAATAATGAAATAAAGAAAAATGATGAGACTCACCAACCTATTTTTTGGCCACCTCCTTTGTCCTTGATTGCTCCTACTGTGTGTATTGCAGTTCTTGTGTATATACATCTCTCACATTTTTGTTTTAAATTTCTGATTCTTTACTAAGCAATTCTTCTGGGTTTCTTCACATTCCTCTTTCAGGAGAACAGATCAAAAAATGTCTAAGACATCAGAGAGTAGAGAGCATAGTATCTAAGTCAGTTCCAGTGTGGCAGGGGGCAGACAGAAAGTCCCATGCACACTAACTGGCCAGGGGTGAGTACAAGCTAAGGAAGCCAGAAAGGAGAAAGCTGGGGTTTAGAGGAATTTGCCAAAATGGAAAAGGGGCACTTGAGGGAGAGTCTTGATTATTAATAGTGCTGCATAGGATCCAAGACAGGATAGAAAATCCAATTTAGAATTCTGCAGTTTTAACTAGGAATTGAGATGCATGCTCTGGACCTATGGGGGAGAAACAACCATGAAAGGAGGCTTGCCAGGAACTCAGTCACTGGGTGTAGTATTCTCCAGGCACAATGCCCAGTCTTTGGCTCCTGGCATTGCCCTGCTGTCCCCACATTGTTAGGGGGTTTTGGCATCAGCATTTACCTAAATGCACTCTCCATTCAAGCTGATGACTGATGATACCTCTGATTCTCTTATGCTATTAGTAGGTGCTGTGTTCTAAACACACTATAATAATAGTCTTTATAGTTATAATTAAAAAATCCTTCACCTTGCAAACTACATACAGTATACATCCATGGAAGGATAGGCACCAACCCTTAACAATAGTTTCTGAGGGGAGGAGACACCTGAGGCGAACTTTCACTTTTACTAGTAGACCTTGAATTGTTGGCATTTTTTCCAAAGGGCATGCATTCAAGTATTGGGTTTGCAATTACAAATAAAAAATGAACCCCTTCCCATGAAGCCCTCCTTTAAATGCTGATTATTATTGGGAAGAGGATTTGAGAGAAATTAGGGTTTATAGTTCTGTACTGCCTGATGTTTATACCAAGTTTGTATGATTTCCTACCTAAAAAAACAAATTGGAAATTGATAGAGCATGGTGGTTACACATATGCCTCTAAGCCAGAGATTCCCCACCAACTAAATAACTCTCTCAGCTTTTGTCTTCCCATGTACTCTCCCCCATATAACAATAGTAATGCTTAATTTATATGGATCTTGTGAGGTTTTTTTTTTTCTTCTATGTTAGGTGTCTGACTTAGTAACTACCAATTTAAAAAAACCGGCTACTCTGTGTTCCATTTCCTTTGGGCCCATTATAAAACAGCTCTCAAATCTTAGAAGCTCGTCAGCATGAACACCCTAGGTGGGTGCTAATAAATTAATTACTGTGCTGATCTGAACTGCAGGTTGGAATCTCCTGGTTGGCAGAGTCTGTTGTCTTCTTCCATTCTATTATTACAGTACTTACCTTTGCCACAAAGCCTGCACTCAACAGACATTTCTTGAATTTAATGGAAGTTAACATGTAAGACCAGGGATTTCCAGCTGCAAAACAGTCCTAAACAGGATGTAGTTTTGAGCAGGCAACAGTCTTCAATTTCCTTAAATCAAACCATTTAACAGTGGTTATCTGGGCTGTAGGATTACTGGTGATTTTATTTTCTTTATAGTTTTTAGTATGTTCTGATTTTCTATCATGTGCATATATTACTTTTGTAGAAAAGTAGAAAAAATGTCAATAAAAAAAAATTACACTGGTGCTAGTTCCTACATACTTACTTCCCCTCATCTTCTCCTTTTTAATCCTTGCCCTGATCCAATGAACCCCTTCCCATGAAGCCCTCCTTAGAAAGTGATTTTTTAGCAGAAATGATGAGGCCTTTGGAATCAGATGGACCAGTGCAAATGTGGGCATTTTACTTCTCTGAGTCTGTCCCTGGGAAGCAACACCTTCCTTCTAGACTGTTGTTCAGTTCTGCTCAGCAGCTTCAGAAACTTTGTGTATATGAATCACCTGGGATGTTTTTAAAATGCTAACTCTGTTTTAGTAGGCCTAGAATGGTCCCAAAAACCTTCATTTCTAAAAGCTCTTAGGTGTTGCTGACACTGATGTGTGGACCACACTTTGAATTATAAGAGATTAATGCCGTAACACTTGAAAGAGCCCTGGCACAAGTGACCTACCTATGCTTGTTCCTCTACTCTCACGTGGGCCTGCCTTTTCTGGTTGTTTGGATGAGCCCATCTCAGAATAACTGCTGAGATCCACTCAGGAGCAACCCACCTCATTTGAGCTTTAACCTATTACTCCCCCCACCCCCATTTCAATATCCTTCTTTTTCTTTCTGTTCAAACACTTCATTCTTCTTTTGCCTAACAACAATAAAGGTATCTGCTTTTTAGGGCAATTGAGCTATAATTGACATACAATAAATTATATTTTAAGTGTACAATTTAATAAGTTCTAATATATTTGCACACGTATGGAATCATCATCAAACTCAAGATAATGAGCATATCCACTGCCCCCAAAGTTTCCTTATGCTCCTGATGCATAAACTCCCTGGAAACCACTCACTGACATTCTGTTACATAGATTATAGTTTGCTTTTTCTAGAATTTTATTCCAGCAGAATCATACAATATATCCACTATTTTTTTTTTTTTAGTCTGGCCTCTTTCATTCAGCCTAATTATTTCTTAGTGTTATTGTTTTGTATCTTAATAGTTTATTCCTTGCTTATTATTGATAGTATTCAATTGTATGGATATATACCACAATTTGTTTATCCATTCACCTGTTGATAGATGTTTGTATTATTTCCATTTTGGCTCTTATGAATAAAGCTGCTATGACCATTTCTGTGCAAGTCTTGTATAGAGATATATGCTTTCATTTTCTCTTGGGTAAATACCTAGTAATGGAGTGGCTGGGTCATATGGCAGTGTATGTTTAAAAAGTTTAAACTATTTTCCAAAGTAATTGTACCATTTTACATTCCCACCAGGAGAGTATGAGCGTTTCAGTTCTTCCACATTCTTGAAAATATTTACCATTTTGAATAAACTTCATTGTAAAAAATTTTAGGAGGGTGACATAGGCAAAAAAGATAATAAAATCTATCTGTAAATCCTACTACTGGGAGATAACACTATTAAATTGCGGTATTTGTGGAGTTCTAGAAGTTTGCCCTACTAGACAGTGTTCTTATCTTTTAAAAAAGTTTTATATCTCATTTTCACCCTCACTATTCAAAACATGTCATAAAAATTTCAAGAAAAATACAGGGGCTCCCCCCAAACAGAAAACTGAAAAACACTTTTATTTGTCTTCACTCTATTTTAAAATTACTCCTAAATTGGTTTTCTAAATGAATATGTCATAATCTGTCATTAATGAATTTTAAGAATAGCATTTTGCTGTCATGTAGTAAACAAGGAATTTAGAGATAAAAAATAGCCCCACTTCTTCCTATATTCTCAGGGCATTAGAAAACAATTCAACACTAACGTTTCAGGGATTAAGAGCTTGAAATAAGTTAAGAAACAAACGGAGGGACAGGAGTGTCAACGTATAATTTTATACATAACAATTGTTCTTATATTTCAAGAGAGTTACAGATTGATCTGGTAGAAAAACTAAGTAAATGACATCAATAATTACAGTAATTTGTTAAACCCAGAACATTCACTATGTGCTAGGAAATGGGAAGGCACTCTCTGTGCATTATCTCCTTTCATTAGATCTGTGGAGAGTATTCTGCTTTCTCTAGTTTAGACATGGTCTCCACAATAGGAATTATTAAAAGGATTGAAATACATAAAAGAAATCTTAAAGGATATCTGTTGTGCTCCTTGGGGAAGCACAATCCAACTGGAAACCACGGTAATTTCCAAATTTCTGGCCCTCCAAGCCTGCATAGTTCACTTCCTCTCCTCACTGTTCCACGCAGAGAAAACCGCTAGGCTCAGCCACCATGTGATGGCAGCATCAATTTTTTATGGTATCTCTGGAGCATAGGTTTTCTTAGTGAGGCCAACGCTGGCACAGTCTTAGAGCAGTAGGTTTAATGTCTTTGGTTGGTCAGATGTGATACAAAGTCTCACTAAAATTGCTGAGACCTTTATCTTCTATGTCTAAAGCATGAATGCCAGTGGAATCAGGCCAGAGTTTGAATCCTAGTGTCAGCCTTTGTTTTCCCTTAAACTTAAATTTAATGGGATAATTCCTACCAGCTGGGTCGTTTGTTCGTCCATCCATCCATCCATCCATCCATCCATCCATCCATCCATCCATCCATCCATCCATCCATCCATCCATCCATCCAGTTTACTAAATACCTACTATGTGCCAAGTACCATTCTAGTGTGATAACTCACAGCAAACGATGTGCCTAAAGGGCTATGTAAATTATAAAGCTCTAGGCAAACAGTTACTGCTTTTACTTTCAGTAGTCGTTTTCCCCACAGATCACCAAAACAAAGAAAATTACCTAAATAACCGCAGGAAGATGGTACAAGGAAGGATTTCTTGGCACAGGGTTTTACAAAAAGTTTATCCTGAAGGGATTCAGCAAGCAAGAAGGTCCTAGTTTACTCCGTACGGGTTTCTGAGGCGTCCTCGGGAGACCTCGAGGTTCCTGAGGTATTTTCTGGCCCTAATAATCTGGAAACCCTACAGTGTATTTCTGGGCTGTAATTATTAATTGAAGTTCTTATTCTGCTGACACCTCTCACCCACTGTCCACACTTTTAATCTTTCCCGGCTTCAGTTTTCTCAAATGAAAACCATAGGTTCTAGGCTTCTAACTGGCTGGGGCATGTTAAGAGAGTAACTCTGGGGTTGGTTGCTTCGCAAAGCAAGGGCGCTGGACCAACCTGCTGCCAGCCTGAAGTTTGAGGATGGGAGTCCTCCAAGCTTCGGTGCACATCCCAGGTCGGAGGGCGCCGTTTTACAGACAGCTAAACCACCCGGTCCACCCCTTGTCTTCCTAAGCATCATGAGACTCCATAGGAAAATGAAACTGAAAATGGTGAAGTCCTTTCTAACCTGGTGGGGCATCACGCTCTAGGAGACGGGTGACGGCTCCTGAGCGCGGGGTTCTGATTGGCTGTGCGCGCATGGACTATAAGAGGAGGCGCAGGGCGCGGTGCCCATTCCAGAGTCCGGCGCTGCTGTGGAGGCGATGGCTCGTTTCGTGGCCTTGGTCCTGTTCGGGCTGCTCTCTCTGTCCTGCCTGGAAGCCATAGAGCGTGAGTGTCGCCTGCTCCACTTGCCCTCCCTCTCCCGCCCCCTACTCTTTTGGTCACTCTGGGCACAACCTCTGGAAACCAGCGTCCGCTCCCCAGGTTCTCCTTCCCAGCCCGGTCTAGGTCTCGGGGAGGGGAAGCAGTGGGGTGGCTGCGGAGTAAGGAAGGGGTGCGAGCCCAGGACGAAAGCCTCTTTTTTCCTTCTCCGGGAGCGGGGAACAGGGGAGCCCTCTGGCAAGCCCGGGCCGGGCTGGTCGGGACCAGGTTTTGGGGTGTTGATAAGTTTCAGAGCGACGGGTAGGGAAAGGTTTCTCTTCTGCTCTTCCCCGGGACCTCTAGCTCCCCGAGCGGCGCTGCTGGGGGAGGGCGGGTAGGCGGCCCAAAGGCGCGGAGTTGGGGGCTGTGAATGGGTGGAGACAGACGTCTGCGCTTTGCGGGAGGCACCGCCAGGGTAAATCTATCCGCTGCAACTCTGCGCGGCTCGGATCCGCAGGGCTTCGGGCTTCGCCCGGACGCCTGTCCTCCGCATTTCTCCACTAATATGGGACCAAATCATGGCGAGGAATCAGCACGCGATTTCGGTAGAAGGCTTCGAGATGTTACAAAGCGCTTTCACATCATCATTCTACTTGTTCCCATTACATGTCACATTAAAAAATCCTAAGATCTACCTGTTATTGGTCGCTCACTGGCGAAGACGTTGTGTGCTTCCTGTCGATTTGAAGCGCGCTTGTGATGTAAATACTACGGTTATCGTCAGTATCTCACAGTTGAGAAAACTGAGACACCAAGAGTTTAAGAAACTAAATCACACTGGGGACAAGTGGCAGACAGTCGGGCCCGACCAGAACATTTTTGCAGGAGTGCGCGCCTTTGGGCTGAATCCGTGCGTTTTTCAGAACCGCCTTGTCACGTTCCGGTGTGAGATTATTGCCAGGCAGCTGGACGGCCATGGGCCCCTTGTTGCCTTCTCTTCACAGAGGGATTCCTCTTTGGCTTTTTGCCGGATTCTTTCCAAGGTGAACTGAGCTTCTAACTTTCAGTTTTGAAAAAGTAAAGGTTTACCAGTTAGGGAGGTTGTAAGATCAGTGATAAGGATAATCAACATGGTTATCCAGGCTGTCCAGGACACCTTAGATCTTGGGCATGTTCTAAATACCCTTCAGTATATCAGACCTTTTCATTTTTTTCCCCTCACAAAAGTCTCTGTGAAGTTGGGTTTTCTGATCATGAGAAAAAGGTATTTAGTTTATAATTTAGTTATAAAATAAAGCATAATGTTGTATCTTCACTATTATTGGTATTTGCTGATGACTATAGAAGTCTTTTTAAAAATAACAAGTTGACATTAGAAAATTTTAATTTGAAAATTTCCAAAGTAACACATGCCATTCATAGACCACTTCTGGAACATATACAAGAAAAGGGTAATCTTGATTACCTGGGGGTTAGGAAGATTGTCTATTTTTTCTGCTCTATCTTTAGTGTGGGTTTTGTTTGTTTCATTGTGGGCATAAGTTAGTTTTTCATTTAAGTCTCAGAAGCTCAAATAACTCTCTCAAAGTTATAAAGCTAGTAAGTGGCTGAGCCCAGATTCAAACCCAGTTTTCTCTGATGCTTGTCTTCCTCTTAGAAGAGATTATTGTGATCTTCCAAAGCCCCATCTAATTCCATCAAAGAGAGAATTCCAGGCCACATGAACCTATGTTCTGACTCCTGTGACATTTATGTTCTAATTAGTAGAAGATCAAATGCAAAGAGCTTTCTGATTTATCTTCACCTTTAACTTTATGAATAAAAATATCAGGGCTTCTTTGGAATCCACAGTTCAGCTCTTGGTGGAGGTGGTGAACTTTTCTTTGGTGGTAAGGTATTTCTAGACAGATATATCTGGTCAGAGTAGCCTGTCTCTCCTCCTCCTCCCCACCTACCTCCTAGACATGGAGGAGGAGTTGCCCTTTAGTAATCACATACCTGGAATGTATGTGTATTTAAAAGTGAGTTATATACATGTGTTAGTGTCAATCTATATATCTAGTAGCAGTAATACTTCATTTTGGATGAAAAATATGGAGAGTTTATAATATTTTCTTTCCATATTCCCAGGGATGGTCTAGTTATGCATCTCATTTTGGAGACCACTGTTCTGTAGCATTATGTAATGTGTTCCCAACCTGGCTAGTAATAGCAATGAGTTAAAGGTTCTGATTAAAAATGCAAATCCCACTTTCACATGCACTGTTCCACTTAGTCATAATAGAGAGTATGTTCTCTCCCATTTGCTACAGTCCTCACCCTTCCCAGTCCTCTTACCCAGTTCAACTCACTCATTTAAGGTATTTGCCAGTTTAAATAAACTATAGGCATTTAAGTTTTTCTTCATTTTCTAGCTCATGAAATCAGATAGAGATATGGCATATAAACTCTGGGCAAGATGAGGAGGCTGTACTTTGTAGGAACATAATTTGGGTTGAGTTTCTTAGGAACCTGAGCAAGGCAGTAATAATACCTGTCACTTAGGGAGTGTGCCAGGCACTGTACCAGACACTACATATTCAGAAGTCAGATGCATGTGGATCTAGGCAGGAGCAGTAACCAAAAAGGAAAGGAGTAAACATAAGAAAAAAACTAATAGGGCTGAAATGAGTACAATAACATGAGTTTTTTAATGTGGCTACTAGGGAGGGGATATGAAGTAAGAAATGAAGTGTGAAAAGTAGGTTGGGGCCAAATCATGTAGACTCTTGAATGACGTGATAAGGAATTACAATGGGTACAGAGAAGCCATCAAAAGTTCTTGAGAGCCTCCACAGAAAAAGATTCTTAAGATGCTCGACATCACTAATTGTCAGAGAAATGCAAATTAAAACCACAATGAGATATCACCTCACACCAGTTAGGATGGCCAACATCCAAAAGACAAACAACAACAAATGTTGGCAAGGATGTGGAGAAAGGGGAACCCTCCTACACTGCTGGTGGGAATGTAAGTTAGTTCAACCATTGTGGAAAGCAATATGGAGGTTCCTCAAAAAACTAAAAATAGAAATACCATTTGACCCAGGAATTCCACTCCTAGGAATTTACCCTAAGAATGCAGCACTCCAGTTTGAAAAAGGCAGATGTACCCCTATGTTTATCACAGCACTATTTACAATAGCCAAGAAATGGAAGCAACCTAAGTGTCCATCAGTAGATGAATGGATAAAGAAGATGTGGTACATATACACAATGGATTATTATTCAGCCATAAGAAGAAAACAAATCCTACCATTTTCAACAACATAGATGGAGCCAGAGGGTATTATGCTCAGTGAAATAAGCCAGGCAGAGAAAGACAAGTAGCAAATGATTTCACTCATCTGTGGAGTATAAGAAGAACAACAAAAAAAACTGAAGGAACAAAACAGGAGCAGATGCACAGAACCCAAGAATGGACTAACAGTTACCAAAGGGAAAGGGACTGGGGAGGATGGGTGGGAAGGGAGGGATAAGGGGAAAAAGGGGCATTATGATTAGCCCACATAATGTGTGTGGGGGGGCACGGGGAAGGCAGTACAACACAGAGAAGACAAGTAGTGGCATCTTACTATGCTGATGGACAGTGACAGTGACTTTAATGGGGTATGTGGTGGGGACTTGATAATGGGGGGAATCTAGTAACCACAGTGTTGCTCATGTAATTGTATATTAATGATACCAAAATAAAAATAAAACAAAACAAAATAAAATTCAAGTGAATAGTCAAAAAAAAAAAGATTCTTAAAGACTTGGTATATTCCAGTAACAGAAGATACTGCTAGAAATCTGCTGTGAAAAGCCAAAAAGGCATGTGTAGGGGAATTACATTGGAAAGATGTCATGGCTTATCCCTCAAAGTAGAGGTAGTCTTTTGAAAAAGTGGAAGCTCATTTGGCTGGAGTGGAAATGGAATTGGGAGAAATGGATGATCAAATTTAAACACTTGGCACTTGATATAGCTACCAAAGTACCCCAAGTAAAATACTCTGCAACTTTCTTTTTTAAAAAACAATATGATTGACTACATTCCCTATGCTATACTTTTCATCCCTATGACTTATTTATTTTATAGCTGGAATTTTGTACCTGTTAATCACCCTCACCTATTTCACCAACCCCATCCCTTCTTCTCTGGCAACCACCAGTTTGTTCTCTATATTTATGAGACTGTTTCTGTTTTTTTGTTGTTGTTGTTTATTCATTTGTTTTTTAGATTCCACTTATAAGTGAAATCACATGTTATTTGTCTTTCTCTGACTGACTTATTTCACTTAGCATAGTACCCTTTAAGTCCATCCATGTCATAACAAATGGCAAGATTTTGTTTTTTTATGGCTGAGTAATACTCTCATATGTACCACATCTCCTTTACTCATCTTTTGATGGACACTTATTGCTGTTTCTGTGTCTTAGCTATTATAAATAATGCTGCAGTGAACATAGTGGTACATAATATCTTTTCAAATTAGTGTTTTTGTTTTTTTCTGGTGAATACCCGTAAGTGGAATTACTGGATATATGGTATTTCTATTTTTAGTTTTCTGAGAAACCTCCATACTGTTTTTCACAGTGGCTGCATCAGTTTACATTCCCACCAACAGAGCATGAGGGTTCCCTTTTCTCCACTTCCTCACCAACACTTGCTATTTCTTATCTTTTTGATAATAGCTGTTCTGATTGGGGTGAGGTGATACCTCACTGTGGTTGTGATTGGCATCTTCTTGACAATTAGTGATACTGAGCATCTTTTCATGTGTCTGTTTTCCATCTGCATGTCCTCTTTGGCAAAATGTCTATTCAGGTCCTCAACACTTGAAATTTTCATTTGTCTTTCCCTGGTGTTACTCAGGTGCTCCAAAAGTTCAGGTTTACTCACGGCACCCAGCTGAGAATGGAAAGCCAAATTTCCTGAACTGCTATGTGTCCAGCTTCCATCCACCGGAAATTCAAATTGATTTGTTGAAGAATGGGAAGGAAATGAAAGTGGAACGCTCAGACTTGTCTTTCAGCAAGGACTGGTCCTTCTATCTTCTGGTCCACACTGAATTTACTCCCAAGGAAGGAGATAAGTATAGCTGCCGTGTGAATCACCGTACTCTCTCTGAACCCAAGATAGTTCAGTGGGGTAAGTTTTCAAGTTCTTCCTTAGCTGCTGACAGCTGTATCCGAGCATAGCCATGGCATAAAACTGCTTTGATATAAAAAAAAATTGTGTATCGGGAATGCCAGGGAATAGCAGCACCTTCTGAGAGACCTCTGCAAAGCATGGTCCCTGAAACAACAGTGTCCCTGTGGAAAGAGCAGGGAGCAGCTGCAGCACCTGCATAAGGGCACATGTACTCCCAGTGTCTATCTATTGGCTTCCCTGGGCTCCCGGCAGCCTCCTGGGTACTTAGGACCAGTGAGTCTCGGGGAGGCACAGGCCTTTGTCTGTAAGCCCTGCTTCTCTAGCGCCCTGCAATCCTGGACTCCTCTAGTACTCTTTGACTGGGTTGGGATCTGAGGCTGGTAGGAAAGGTTGGGTCTCACTGGGTAGTTCTAAACAAGGTATTCACAGTTGGGACAGCAGGCCATTCTGCCAGCCTTACATATAACAGTTTTAAACATGTGATAATATATAGTATTTAAAAATACATAATACACAACACATAATACATAGTATTTTAAAAGTAAAACCTACTGTTTTTCTTTCTCATTCCTGTTTTCCTTTTCATAGATCAAGACAACTAATTAGCAGTGGAGGTGAGTTTCTAACCTTAAGAAAATGCTTTTTTGTTTCACTCTTTCGGGCACTATTTACAGACAACTCTATGACAATAACCCTCGTTATGTGGAAGACATTACTCAGGGTAGCATTTCAGCAGGCAAACATTCCCTTCTCCTGAGGAGTGGCATGAGGCATAGGCATGCCCCCAGGTGTGTCTCTGCCAGCATCACTGACCCTCTGAAGGAGTCAGGAGCTGCCAACATGGTGTGACAGGACAGAGGTTGCTGGTTATCTGCACTCCCTGCAAGGGTTTGATACGTCTGCTATTTCTACATTGGGCATCCCTGGGAACTTCAAAAATGAACCATTCTCTTCCTTTGCATAGCAGTTGTTTTATTACTCAGAAGAAAAGAGGAGTGACATGGTTCTGTAGACTTCTCATTCTTTGAATCTCTTGTTCAGCTTTCGTGTGGAGGCACTGTTTGCCTTCTAGAGGCTCCCAGTCCAATAGAGAGAAATGGAAAGAGGTTGTTAAAATGCAATATAAAAATACTGCAATAAATTCATCTACAAAGGGCTCTAGCCGCATGAAAGAGGGAGGAATTGGACTTCTCATCTTTGGCTAGAGTCTAGAGGTAGAAAATCCAGCTGTTCAATAAAATTCTACTCTACAGGATACTTTTGTACTGAAAAACCTATTGAAATTTTCTATTATATTCTAGGACTGGGAGATGAATTTGAGAGAGATCAGGGAGGTTGGGTGACCTGCCCCAAGTCATAGTTAATAAATGGTAGAACCAGGATCAAAACTCTAATACCTGCATTCTTCCCTCAAAGGTTGACAGAGAACCAATGGGATAAACTAATGGGGTATGCTTTTTGTAATGGGTTTGGAAAACTGTCTGCAGCTACTACTTTTACAAATGGTGATCCACGTAGCAGAAGTTAGAGAAGTTTGATGATGTGATCTGTAATCCACTTGAAATAAATGTATTTGCTAACAAGCCTTCTTTTTTTTTCAGGTTTGAAGATTCCTCATGTGGACTGGACTAATTCCAAATTATGTTTTTTTATTTTTAATAGTTACCTGCATTTTATGTACACAAATACGTGTTATGATGTTAACATATATACTGTCTTTATAATTCTCCTTTGGGCACTAGGTCTTCATATTTGACCTACCTGGGCAGGCAATCTAAACTCTTCAGTCTCTTCTGCGTAGAAAACTAGATATTAAAATAGTTATGCATGTTTTGAGTTAACTTCCAATTTGCATACATTGCTTATAATTTTGGGGAAAGGTTTTGAAAGATAATTATCAGAATTATTGGAAACTTGTTAGAGTCGATGAAACATTTTGTCATACAAAATTCACATTTACCTCTTAGATCTGTTAGAGACATGGTGTTCTCTCTTGATTTTACATTTGTTTGAATAATTAAATAAATACTGAAAATTGATATGTTCAGTTTCTTAAATATCACTCCCCCTGTTACCCCTTAGTTTTCAAATAGGGAAATGGTCTACAAGTGTTACTTGGAGAAGATTGTAAACCCCTGGTTATAGTGTTTGGCTCACAGTGAAAGGGGACTCCATGATTTGCATTTTACAAATGAAGAACAGGATCCCAGAGAAGTTAAATGATTTAGTCAGGGTGACACAGCTGTCTGCTGGGAGACCAGGCTTTTGTCTTATGGCTAATGTTCTTTCTGTTCCCTTGGCCAAGACATGAAGAATGTATAGACTCTAAGAGGGAGCAAAAGTATCTGAAGGATTTCATATTTTAGCAAGCAACAGATATATTTTGAATGAAAAATACTAGATTTTTAAATTCCAAGATGGAGTTTATACATGATCACCAGTTTTGTGCATTTGTTGCTTTGACCAAGATTGAGTTAGCTAGGGATAGGTACTGACAAGATGAATAAAACACAACATTGCTCTCAAATTGCCCAATTTAGTGGTGGGGCAGATGTGCACTCCAACAATTAAAATACATTTTCATAAAGAGTATAAAATAGGTATTCCCAAAGATCTAAGTGATAGGAAAATGTGTTCAGAGCATACCAAAAGTTTTACATAGTTGTTAGGGAAACTGTTTGCTTGAGCTGAGACTTGGTGGGTAGTGGTTCTTCTGATTGTTGAGTGGGGTCTGGTGTTACCAGGGTGGGGGGGTCAATTATGAAAAGTATATGAGGTATGACAGGTGTGGGTAATTCCAAACAGAGCAAGGGTACCTAGGAGAAGATGTGTAGGAGCTCAGCTAAGCAGGTTAAGGGGCGACTTAGACCAGTAACTCTTCACTCTGGATGCACATTAGAATCACCTGTAGAACTTACTAAACAATACCAGCTATAAAATTAAAGTATTAAAAAAATAAAACAGCTTCTCAGGCTCCAATCCAGACCAACTAAATGGCAATTTCTAGGTATTAAGGCCAGATATCAATATTATTGCTGCTTTTTTAAGACCTTCTGTTTTTAGAGCAGTTTTAAGTTCACACTAAAACAGAGGAAGGTCCAGAAGATCTCCCACACACCCCTGTCCCCACCCCTGCCACATGAATATCCTCACATGTTATCAACATCTCCCACCAGAATGGTACATTTGTTAACAACTGATGAACTTACGTTGACATACAATCACCAAAGTCCACAGTTTACATTACTGTTCACTCTTGGTGTTGTATGTTCTATGGGTTTGAACAAATTATAATGACATTTATCCATCATTACGGTATCAGAATATTTCACTGTCCTAAAAATACTCTGTGCTCTGCCTATTCATTCCTCTCCCCACCCCTTGTCCCTGTAACCCTTGGCAACCACTGATCTTTTTACTCTCCTCATTGTTCATTTTGCCTTATCCAGAATGTCATATAGTTGGAATCATACAGTGTGCAACCTTTTCAGATTGGCTTCTTTCACTTAATAGTATGCATTTAAGCTTCCTCCATGTCTCTTCATGACTTGACTTGATAGTGTTGAAAAGCATCTATTCTCTGGATGAACCACTTTATTTATCCATGTGGGGAAGCTGGGGTTCCTATGGCCAAGATCCTCACTGAACTTAAACCACCTGATGATGTAACTGGTCTGTTGCTGGGCTGCCGCTTCCACACCTTTTAGGCAATAAGCTATTATTACGCTATAAAGAAAGCTTGGTCCAGTGCTCTGGGTGGAGGCAGAGACCCTAGTGCTCGACCTGCCACTGGGAGAACAAGCTGGGTAATAAACCCTTTCACCCCAAAGAATGTTTTGCTGTCATTTTCTTTGGTCACATTGAATCCATAGCAAACTTGCCCGGGACTGAAACCCGTTAGCAAGACAATCCATCACCTACTGAAAGACATCTTACTGAGGTTCCAAATTTTGGCAATTATGAATAAAGCTGCTATGAACATTGTGTTCAGGTTTTTATGTGGACATAAATTTCACAGTGTTGTTTTAAAAAGTCACTTGATAGTTTAATGTGCAGCCAAGGTTGAGACCCAATGGGTTAAATTATAAAGGACTTCTTGTTCCATGTCATTCAACAGATCTAATTTCTGAAAAGTTACTTTGCTGGCTGATGGTCCAATGCAGTGTTACTCAAGTCATAGGAGAGGGGAAAATAAAGTAGCAGCAGCTGACTAGCCTGTTGGAAAATCAATTTGCTATAAGCTATTTTCCTTAATATCAGTTGGTGGTTTTCTGAAACCCTATATGTATATATGGGGGAGGGATTTGGGGGATAGGAGAAGTAGGAGGGGAAACAGGGCAGACTCAGACCCTAAGCAGTGGTACTGCCCTCCTGCTGTTCACCGTGGCCAACAGGGAGACCTGTGTCCTGCCCTTCAAAACACTGGGAATGTGGTACCTGGGCCAACCACGACCTCCATGGAAGGAGGGTGGAACCCACAAGACTCCCCCACTCTCCCAAGCAGAGGGCTGGTCTCAGCCCAGACTATGTTGGTGAAAGGGCCCAAGGTAGCTGTCAGCTTGAGATAAATTGATCATTTAATTTAATTGCCTAATTGATATACAATAATTTTTTTTAAGAAAATTGATTTTAGATTTGTTCTAAAATTGTCCTCCTCATCATCAGATAATGCAAACACAGAAAAAATATGGTAAATTCCAATCTTTTATGACAAAGATCACCACCTTTTGGATCCAACTGGATTCTCTCAGTGTATACCCACTACTCTTCATTTTATGTTATGGTCATATATTAAATAGCTTTCCTTGCATTTCCTTATAATTTCCCTTTTAGAATAATTTGCAAAGGTCCAAGGGACCAGAGCAAGACAGCTTATGATTTGATGAAGTTCCTAGAACTTCAGGGACAACCCAAGAGAATTCCATACCTTAACTGCCCAACAAAGCAAGTGACAGTAAGAAAAAGCTGAGGTGGGAGCCAAAGCTTAAGGCAATTCACTAAGGTATAGGACTAAAAACATATCTGGAAGAGAGTCAAAAGAAATACACAGTGCGAGTTAGAATTCAGCAATTCTAACCTAGAACTGCTCTGCTGACCCAAAGGGAATAAACAGAGAGAGGACACGGTGAACAGGTACATGAAAAGATGCTCCACATCACTAATTATCAGGGAAATGCAAATTAAAACCACAATGAGATATCACCCCACACCAGTTAGGATGGCCAGTATTGAAAAGACTAAGAACAACAAATGCTGGTGAGGACGCAGAGAAAGGGGAACCCTTTTACACGGCTGGTGGGAATGTAAGCTAGTTCAACCATTGTGGAAAGTAATATGGAGGTGTATTGATAATCAGTTTATTAATTACTGTGCACAGGCTTAAATGCTAATTTGGGCTCGATATGCAAGACACACCACCACAAGCCACAGCTGTTTAGTATACTTTTACTTTATTAAAAGAGGAGGAGGAGATAAGGGGAAAAGAGGGAGACACAGAGAAGTTTCAGGAAAATTAATCTATTATACCACTAGGACCTCATCAGCAGTACCAGAAAACAAATCATCACAGGCAAGTCTCAGGGGAGGAAAACAAGAGGAAGAGCAAGCAAGCAAGAAAGAATCAGTTCATCATACAGGAGGGAAGGAGGGAGGGCAGGAAGAAAGAGAGGAAGAAAGAGAGAGAGAGAGAGAAAGAGAGAAAGATGAATCAGTCCATCATACCACTAGGACCCCATCATCAGCACCGGAAAACAAATCATCACGGGCAAGTCTCAGAAGAGGACAACAAGGCAGCAGTACTCCAAGCATGATCCAGGGAAGGCTGCTCGTGGTTTCTCTAAGCTGATATTTATGGTAGTTTCTACAAAAGAGGCTCAGTTCCAATAGGCACATGCATGAGTCACGTATGGACCTGGATCTGGCCAGGAGCCGGGGCCATGTTCACAACTCGCTGTTACAGAAACGTCCCGGGTGCGTTTCTCAAGGTAGTTATCCCGGGCACATAGCCGAAGGACAAGTATCTCTGGCACGCAGCCCAGGATTGTTGTTCCCTTCTCCCTGAGGAGTGGCCAGCTCCTCCGGGAAAGGGGTGCATACCTTGAGCCTGGTAAACTCATATGACCCTGAGCAGGCCTTAACATTCTATACTTCATTACAGGAGGTACCTCAAAAAACTAAAAAGAGAAATACCATTTGACCCGGGAATCCACTCCTAGGAATTTACCCAAAGAATACAAGTTCTCAGATTAAAAAAGACATATGCACCCCTATGTTTATCGCAGCACTATTTACAATAGCCAAGATACGGAAGCAACCTAAGTGTCCATCAGTAGATGAATGGATGAAGAAGATGTGGTACATATACACAATGGAAAACTATTCAGCCATAAGAAATAAACAAATCCTACCATTTGCAACAACTTGGATGGAGCTGGAGGATATTATGCTCAGTGAAATAAGCCAGGTGGAGAAGGACAAGTACTAAATGATTTCCCTCATTTGTGGAGTATAACAACGAAGCAAAACTGAAGGAACAAAACAGCAGCAGACTCACAGACTCCAAGAAGGGACTAGTGGTTACCAAAGGGGAGGGGAGGGGGAGGGAGAAGGGGATTGAGGGGTATTATGATTAGTACACATGGTGTAGGGGGGGATCATGGGGAAGACAGTGTAGTACAGAGAAGGCAAATAGTGACTCTGTGGCGTCGTAGTACACTGATGGACAGTGACTGCAATGGGCTATGGGGGGACCCAATAATATGGGTGAATGTAGTAACAACATTGTTTTTCATGTGAAACCTTCATAAGAGTGTATATTAATAATATGTTAATAAGAAAATATCTTAATGAACAACAACAAAAAAAGAGACTGTGACTGTAACTTGGTGCTGTATGTGTAATAGTCCTCAGGAATGTGCTCAGAGCTTTGCAGCTTGGTAGTTATTGCTCACCACCCCTTTCAGAGCATCAGCATTTGCCTATTTCAGACATTCCAAGCTGAGGTGCTACTTCCAATCCCATTTTTATATATTTTTAAACA